TGCTCGCACAGATCTGTGGGGAGGTCCYGTGCGTGCCAGGCAGCCGAACCCAGGCAGAGGTCAGGCCATGTGTGGGCAAGGAAGCAATTCCCATGGCAGACAGCGGTCCCAAACCGCTGCTGTTTGTTTGTAAGCGTCATGGGAAAGGAAGGGCTTGGAGGACAACCAGGTCACTCAGCGGATATTTGTAAGGAGATCCTCCCACACATGGAAAGCTTATGGGAGAAATGAGCAAAGTAGCTGTTTGCAACTTAACCCATGGGACAGGAGAGCTGGCAAGGCCAGCACGGCAGAGCTCGGAGCTGACATTGCAGAAGCACATGGGGGATGATGGATGGAGTGCTGCGGGGCCGGAAGGGCCTGCAAAGTGATATGTGCGCTGAAAGAAACATTGCCCTAGCTCACAGTAGCCTCAGACTGCAGCAATAGATTCTGGTTTTGTTTTCTMTGAGAACACAAGCAGATGTCTCTCCACTCACCTCAACAGGGAACCTCCTGCCGTTGATGCTGTGTTCAGAGCCAGCTGATCCGTTGCTTTGGCCCCAGTGAAACTCCACTTTCTCTGCCTTGAATCTGCCCGGTAACCCAGCACCACTGACAAAATAATCGTCCTTCAGCAGGATAGCAACTGCGCACACAGAACAATAAGAAAGAAACTCTTTAGCACACTTTTTCTGAAGCAGTTTTTGCTCATTATATCAGAACTTCTTCTAATGCAAGTAAAATGTYGGGTCATCATTTTCCTCTTTACAGGGATTGGTTAAAAGAAAGGTCTGCAAGTAATGTTGGCTAATTCTGGAAGTCATTAAGAAGTTACACGGACTACAGAAAATCCCAAAGTCCAAATTTCTCAAGGACATTTTGCCCTCCTTATTGGACTTTGATTAAAATTTAAATGGAAACTACATCAAAACCTKTTTAATGTGGTTCCAGAGAGTAATGGCTGACCACAGTCCCTGCCYTTATAAACCCCTCAAGGTCTGCAGATCACAAGTTAGGCAAAGAATGGGTTTCCTGTTTCTTGGATTTCCTCTTTTTTGTTGGTGGGGACCCCTGTGCCCTGTCCCACCTCTACTGCTGGACATGCTGGGTGCTTTCCTTGGCCTCCCTGCTCCTCCTCTCTGTAAAATGGGGAGAGTCACAATAATGTCTTTGAGACCCACTCATGAGACATCCTCCATAAGAACTGGGTTTTACTACASTAACTCTGACATTATTATTACGTGATTCAATGGAGGTCAGAAAGATCTTCTTTGTATTTTCTTTTCACTTCCAAAAGCCTTTGTATTTTATGTAACAATAAAAGCCATAGGTCCAAACAGAGGGCAGAATCGTAAGGAGGAAGCTGATACATGTTACAGGGGAGGCCTGTAGTCTGACCAAGCTTTCAAAAAAATTCCTTTCTGCTAGTCTCACTACAAGATTACCTTCCTTTCCAGCATCTCCTGTTTTCAATACACACCATTCCTAAAAATTACTCCCTACAAAATTCTTTCTTCTCATCCCTCACAAAACCGTTGCTGAAAAACAGAATTAAAATTTGAGTTTGTAAAAGTCATTGCAGACCAGTGCTTGCTGTGCTTAGAATCCTGTGATTAAAGTTGCGGGGTTGGTTTTGAAGACTTTTTTCTTTTTTAATGGAAATAGCAAAACCCACAAGGATTTCTCTGTGTTCTTAAGCCAACTGTGTCATCGCAATGGGAACATTAATATAAATCCAATTTTCTTATGTAAGAGGGAGGATTTTATTCACTGCTGAAAAAAACAACATAGAAAAAGCTACTTATAAAATAAAAGTTATTTCTCTGTTGGTGACTGAGTTCAAGCTCTGCTGCAGGCCAGGCTTTGTGCCCTTCCCTGAGGACAGATGGTGAGCAACAGCAGCCTCATCTCAGGTGCAATTTTTCCACACAGCTCAGCTTTAAACGGTTTGTGTCAAAACCATCTAAATGTTAAATTGCATGAGATGTTCAGATGTTTCTAAATTGCGCCAGCAAAATCACAGGGCTGTTTTCTTCCATGATTTCTGCTTCTTTCGGCATTCCCTTCGCATCCAAGCGCTTGTGTGGGAGGATGGGTGGTGCAGAACTGGCTATAGGGTACTGCCTGTGCCAGCCAGGGTACTGCTGCTACTCACTCTCTGCTCACACCAAATCTGTGACTGAAAGCACCACTGCTCTCTACCTCCCTTAAAAAAATTCTCAATGAGCTCAGCAGTATTTTAAATAGTGAAAAATTTCATTCAATTAGTTAYAAATTCCATAGATGAAATCGTGGGAGATGAGGAATACAGCAAAGCAGATTTGCATGCATCTGTTAAAAACCTCTGTGGAGATTCAGTTGCATCTAATAAATATTTGATAGTTCCTAAATAATTTATGGCTCTGTCAGGGGTCATTTTACTTGTTTTAGATGAATAATTAAAAAGATAATTAGGAGGATGTACAATCTGAAATGTTCCTCTAATTGTTCATTTTACAGTATTTCTTACACTGCTGAGCTGTATGACACATGTTCCCATCACCTTCCCAGCTTAGCAGCATCCCCTCACCTTCCCAGCTTAGCAGCATCCCCTTACTGCCAGGAGCTTTCCTTCTTTTCCTGTGAGCCCTGGTATTCAGGACTGGAATAACCAAACATCACCTTTCTGGCCTTTGGGAGCCACTGCTTTTATCCCAGGATTTCTGTAGAGTGCAAGGAATCAACCCCCAAAGGCCACTAATTTAAAATACTATATAATTGAGATTACAAACCCAAAGGAAGTAGTTTGCAGCAGCCAGTACCACAACTGTGTGATGCCATTTTCAGATTCAGGGCTGGTGTTGGATGCCCGTCACCCATGGGAGAGCAGGAATAAACCTGGACTCAAAGCAGCTCTGATGGTCAGGGCCAGCCAGAGTGATGCACATCAAACAGGAAAAATATTTAACAAAAACACATCTCTGGTAGAAATTTTWGTAAGTTTCCCTAAGCAGAAGGAGATTTTAGAAGTTCTTGGTATGAGCACAATTTGTGCAAATACAACTATGAAATATGTGTATATCCTCCAAGTGATCTCTAGCATTTAATACTAGGGCYAGCTACTCCAGTGATGAAATCAAACCCACATTAGTGCCTTTGCCAATGTAATTGTGCACAAAAGCATTTCTAGTCAAGCCAGAGGCTTAAAAAACCCATTTCCATTTTCTGAATGAAATGCTGTTACTGTACATTGCCTGCCCTGTACCTGATATAGGGGAGACACCAGAAAGAGCAGAACAAATCTAAACAGAATTACCTTTCAGAGCTTAAAAATAACTCATTGTTTCATTGTAAAAAAAAGGAAAATTATTAGGTCTACAGCAATAACAATAACCCAAGCAACACACTTCCTGCTAGTTAATGAGCACTAAGGTTAAGGGCCTTTGGCTTTCCCAGGGACCCCTGTCTCTTTTAACCAGTCATTAATTGCAGAGAAATGCCCTCTACATCCATCACCATTTCTTAAACAGTTATTTAGTTTACTGTCTCTGTCAGTCTGCAATACGAAGGTCTCGTGTGGCCATCTGCTCCAGGACTCTGCTGCCAAAAYACATCGCGATTTATGGCACAGCCAGCCTCTATCTTCTACCCACAAGCCAAAACATCCTACTTGGTTTGCTGCTCTACCACTTACCACCTTAAAAATTAATGCCAGGCAAGTTTCTTCAAAAGGTCACAAAACCAAGAAAAGGAATGGGACTTGATAAAACAAGGGAGGAGTTAGGAGCTCAGCAGAAGAAATCAGGGCTGACAGCAAGGCAAAAAGAGTCTTCACGTTACCAGTAAAAGGCCGTAAGTTACCAAGAAAAGTGACAGTTACTGTTGCTCTGAGAAGCAATAACTTGTCAGCAAAAATCCATACCCCAATGGGTGAGGAAATCAAATATAGCAGCAGTGCTAAAATCATCCAGCAGAGAAGACTGAAGGTTCAGCTTTCATTGCCAACTGCACCGAGACCGGAAAATCTGCTGGCACTTTTCAGCTCAACACAACAAGGTTCTGGCTTGTACCAGCAATAGTGTGGTCAGCAGGACTTGGGCAGTGACTGTGCCCTTGTGCTCAGCACTGGTGAGGCCACTCCTCGAATCCTGGGTTCAGTTTTGGGCTCCTCACTACAAGAAGGACACTGAGGGGCTGGTGCATGTCCAGAAAAGGGAATGGAGCTGGCGGGATCAGCTGGGAGAAAAGGAGGCTCAGGGGGGACCTTCTCACCCTCTACAACTCCCTCAAAGGAGGTTGTAAGCCACGTAGGGGTCAGGCTCTTCTCCCAGGTAACAGCTGACAGGAGATGTAGAAATGACGTCAAGTGTTACCAGGGGAGATTTGGATTGGATATTGAAAAATAATCAGTGGAAGAGCCTGTCCACAGAAGTGGTGGAGTCACCATCCCTCGTARGTTTTTAAGAGATGTGTAGATGTGGCACATGGGGACATGGTTTAGTGGTGGCCTTAGCAGTGCTGGGTTAATGGCTGGACTCAATGCTCTTAAATGTCTTATCCAATCCAACCTAAGTGATTTTGTGATTCCAACATGGTTTCCTATTATATGTGCAGCAAKGTAACTATTATATGTACAGGACAGCATTAACATGCTCCTTAGAAGAACACCATCATCACATTTTCATGGTCTTTCTAATTATATTTATTGCTGATCACCACAAACAGCCTCTGTGACCATAAAGGGCAGGGTGCATCACATGCATAGATTAATTAAGCACCAAATTTCCATAGCATTCAACCTTTCCTGAACCTCATGTTGCTACCAAGGGCAACAAAGTCAGGACTTCAAAGGAAACAGGAGCATTATTCAGTAAAGCTGGGAAAAAAAAAAAAACAAAACAAAAAAACCCAAAAAAAACAGTAATGCAGCAAAACCCCCAGCTATGCTTGGTGGTGGTTTATGCTAACTGGATTTGCTTTGCAGTGAAAGAAAACAGGCTCACAGGCTGCCACTCCATTTCATCYGAGGGGCAATAACTCCTGCTAAGATCCTGAACTGCTGGAGCTGGGTCTGAGGCACTTGCTGGACTCCAGAGCAYGGCTCAGATCCCAAGAGCCCTGGAGGTGATGGGGGTATCTGAGGGCACGCTGTGTACACAGCTGTGTCACCAGCTCCAGAGCAGGTACACGCCCTGGGTCCTGCCAGCAGACCTCTGGCAGGGGCCACGCTGCTGAGAGCACTATAGAGATGCATGTCAGATGTTAATAAAGATAAAAATATACTTCCAATAAATAAAATTGAATTAATTAGTGGTTTAATCCAATTCCCTAAAAATACTTGACCTTGTCAAATGAAGAGGGTGGCCTTATAATTTCTGCTTTTTACGTTTTTAGAATTAAAGAGTAATCAAATGCATGCGGCTTTGCATATAAATCAACCTTGACCTTTCAGTGAACTGTTTTGGTAAAAATAAGCAGTACTCATGCCTGCTCTTTTTTCTCTAAAAGCTAGAACAGACAGAGCAGAAAAGGATTCAGTTCAGTGAAGAACACTGTGCTATAATCATATCAGAAACACATTAATAAGCCCCCACTACTCTGAGCAGTTATTGCTCTTTCTTCTCTAAAATCTTCCAATTTCTAAGACTTCCCCTTTCCTTCCCCCTGAGCCTTGCATCTCAGCATTCTTTTGGATTAGATGTTACAGCCTCCCAAAGCTGATAATTCAAGGTTACACCTTGAAACTCTTACACTGCCTTTTATTCTGAGGAACAACTGACTACCAAGAGAATTAGTTTAGACTGAGAACCAAAAAAAAAAAAAAAAAAAAAAAAGCAAGCAACCCTTAAAAAAAAGTCCTTAAAATCAATCTGCAGAACTAGCTCTGCACAGAATGCAGAGGCAGAGGTTGGTGGCTCCTACTGAAAAATTACATTAAATAAAAAAAAAAAAAGCCACAAAACCCAAACAACAGAACAATGAAAAAAGGAGGAGGGTGGAACATGGCTTGAATTTCTAATTGACTGCAGGCAGGCTATGGAGASAAGCAGAAGAGAACATACCCGTTTTTCCTGTGTTTTTCATCCAAGTCTTGTTTGAAGATTCATTGTCAAAACCATCCAGCTGCAGCTCTTGATACTCATCCCCGACGTGGGCCAGGTGRTCTACGATGTCTATGGGAGACTGGTGAGACCCCCCACACTTCTCGCTGGAAGCCACCCAGTGCTCGGGACCATAGGTACCTGTCAAAAAACACCAATGTCAACATCYCAGTGGCTCAACAGTGCTGGACAACTCTTAAATGTGAGGATGAAGCACTTAAACTACCCAGGTAACTCCACCACTGTTACAATTCCCACAACGGAAAGAGGTTAAGACTTGTAAACTTATGAGGAGCAAATCCTTTGGCCTTGTGCTGTGTTCCAGCTTTGCCTCCAGCAGTATGAACAATGGCCTTTTTAAAAAACTACTATTCTATAAAACTCTCTGCAGTTCCCAAGCTCCTCTTGTGCATATGATATCAATTACCATGTTGCTACGGGAACTTCSCGAAAGCTCCAGCCTTAATATATTACTGTATAGTTTATCTTTTCACTATGGACAAATAATGTAATAGCCACACATTAACTTGTGTTCTTGCAATACTAAGCTTAGATAATATTATCTTTATCAATGCTCTCATTTCTTTTGGAGGTTTTGAAACCAGAAGAGATTAAAAGAAAGAATTACATTAAGTGTATGTTAGTAAATTTGAAGAGAACAACAAAGGAAAAAAATACTCTGCATGAAGTAAACAGGACAATGACCTGTCAATAATACACTGKAACTTTCTTCTGTTGCTATTCTTCCATGAGTTTTCTGGTTCTGATGGACAGTCAATTAAAATAATATGGAAAAATAAAAGATCTGAGACAAAGACCTTGTCATCCACACCCCATACGAGCCCTAGATGCACTAGAACACCRGGAACCCTCAGCACCCCAATTAGGAGGATGTAAAATTTCTTTTTTTTCTTATGACCTCCCCCTTCATCTCTTAAGTGGTATTAAAAGASACTGAGAGGTTATTTTCCTATGAGTGAAAACAGTGGTTTAAGCTAGTGGAATAACAGCASAGGTTTCTTGTAAAGCACTTGTTGCTCACAGTGCTTGAAGTGCTTTACAGCAGCGATCAGCTCCATTATTCTCATGGAAAGGCAGGGAAATTGATGGCTGAGGAGGGAAGCAATTTGCCCCAGCTCAGCTACCAAAACCAAGTTACAACCCAGAGCTGAACTCTGCTCTCCTGAGAGCCCTGATGTCACACCTGTGTCACACCTCTGAACTCAATCACTGGGTCTGTTCGGTAGGCAGCCAGCAGGAAATGATGCACCGATGTGCATTTATTACCCTTGCATCTGAGAAGCATATGGAAATTCARTTAGTGCCATCCAAACCCAGCAGTTGGGAAGGCCAGTTTCTTTGGCCCCTGGGTTTTAATCAGTCTAGCTGCAAAGTGCATTCGTTCTCTCTTCTCATGAGTTGGAGCAGGACACTTAATCAATAGCAAGATTTTGCTATACTCATCACACACAAATGCTGTCTGGTACCCAAACGRCCACAAGAAAATTTAACTTTCAAGTACAATTAGGCAAAATTGCAGTATCCTTTAAAAATCATTTACATCATCTGCCCAGGTTAAAAATCAGTTTCGTTTATCTCATGGTTCAATTTATATTGTCAGCAAGAGCTGCTTTCAGTTATTTCCCAATGTACCACGGCCAAGGAGAACAGAATTATTAAAACCCCTATATGGGGGAAACCAAATGTGTTCCACTCAAACACAGCTATTTTTCCCCAATCAGGATGCTCTTAGTAATTGGTTTGTAGTGAGTTAATTAGAAATTCAGATTTACTTTCCATATAACCTTGCATCTACCCCATGAAATTTGGGAATTTGCTTTAAAATATTTAGCACTACACTATAATCAAACCTGCCAGCTCTCGTTTTTTGGCTTTATTATAAACAAGGGGTGAGCTTTTCAAAAGCACTCTGCCCACAGAGGCTATCGCAGTGGTTTCAGCTGTGCATTCAAAAGGAGCTGTGCACTCCAATTTTTCTTTTTTAAGTATTCTGGTGTCAATGAGGAATTTTATTTTATTTTTTTTCTTTTTTTTAAGTAGGCGGATTTATTTTAACAGGGACTGTAGAGTTTCTTCCATGCATCTTGTCACAATTATTTATTTATTTATTTATTTTAAGTATAGCCAGCTCTCAACCTATTTGCAGTGAAAACTGCCTTGTCAAAATGAATAAAATAAGCCATAAGGGTAAACAAACAAACCACCATGTTGAATTAAAACCKCAAGTAACTTAGGTACCTGAACTGACTCTTGCTGAAATGTAGTTTATCACAGACCTCTGAAGGCTTTGTTTCATTTTAAAAAACAAGTCTGCTTTTCTTAAAAAAAATTAATTTAACTTGCTTGAATTAATTTCATAGCAATAAATCTCCTTCTATAAACACAGTAGCTTCGTTTGCTTGTAAATCTATAATCTAACAAAATAAAGCCTAGCAGTATCTGCTTCCTTCAGATGACAGTGTAAGTTTCCATGCATAAAATGCTTCCATACTGGTGCTGAATTATTAAAGAAAATAATAAATCTAATGCAATGGARCTCTCTCAGCAATTCAAAACCCCAACTTAGTGCTGGTGCTGTGACTCCAAGTCCTGACATCCCAAATTACAGTCATAAGGCTAAGCTCCGATTTAGAGGTTCAAGACCTGTTCGTTAAAATCAGCCCAGGATTTTATAAACGGTTAGGCTTGCCATTAATTTCTTTCACAAGTTTTTGATATGTAAATGACTACATGCAATGTGACCCACACCATTATGGCAGCAGCTCTAGACAGAAATAGAGGCCACGACCCCAACATCTCCGTTCCCAGCAGCGCAGAATTGGGGCCGCCCCAGCTTTAACAATGAGCATGGAAAGGGGAAGGTGGGCCAGGGAGGGGAGAGAAAAACTTCTGAGTTGGAAACCAAACTAAATAAATTATAACCCTAGACAGGAATAAAAAAAGTAAAGCTCAACAACCYATAAAATGTAATCAAGGATAGTGCAGTGGGATTCACGAATTCCCAGGTAGCCATCAGAAGGTTCAGGCCCAACTGMCTGTTTTTTTCCATGGACATTCAAGTGCAGTTTTAATTGAAACTGATCTTCCACTACAGATTTCAAATTAATTCTTCTTCCAAGTGTCTCATGCTTCAGACATCCTTGCTTTGCAAAAAACCCCTATATCATTAGAGGAGGAAATAGAACACTTTTTCCAAGCTTGCAGATATTGATTACCTATTCCTTCCATCAAAGCACAATTGCCATTCTGCACTGTATAAATCTCTTCAGCGTTAGACACTTTATAAAGTACTGAGAATTATATCATTAATCATTTGCAGTTACACCTGTCTTGCTTTATTGAATTCTTTGTTTTTTAGAACTTTAAATAAATGCTTTTAAATAAAAACATGACACTAAATAAAGACTGTTTCACTTAAACCTAGTTAAAAAAAAGAAATCCCGTAATTTTGTGTGTGACATTTACCCATCTGAAACAGAGGAACTTATGGCTATTTGTATTTCATTTTTCCAACCGTAAGCATGCCGGCTTTAATCAAATAAAAATTTCGAATGACTTTGAGTTGGCCTTTTAAGGCTGATAAATAATTCGGTTTTCTGAAACCAAGAGAAGAGCCCTCACCTGTGTTAATAAATAATACACATTTCCACTGAGATGGTGGGACAACATGCAGGCAAAGGTAAACATCAGCCAGTCCCATCCTGGGGCTGCAATGTTTGATGCAGGGGCAGCACAGAAAGAATGACAACTGATAACATCGAGCATCTTCAACAGCAGCCCATGATGGGCAGGAGGGCTGGATCCACCCCAGGGCAGCCAAAGGCAAATATGCTCAAACATTGGAGAAAGATGGTGTATTATGCAGGWATAATAAATTTTCGTGAAAGACCTTAACAGCTCCCTGAAATTTTGTGGAACACTGTTGCARTGAYTGCCATRTATGATGACACAGGACTGTTTCAGGTGGTCARMAGTTTATTTTGCTGTCCAGCTTGTGTGAAGAGCTGCATAGCTTTTCCMAAGACTTACAGGGGTTTTTTTGCCCTGATGGGTTTGGAGTGGMGGGACTGACATGCTTCTTGCCAGCTGTGAGCTGCTTTAGCAGRTGGTGCTTAACCAGGGYGAGTCCCAAGTTTTTTGYAACCAGTTTTCAGAAAGCCCGTTGATCTGGGGTGGTAACGCAATACAAACATTTGCATATTTTACCACCTTTTACCACCATATTTTACTTGACCTTTCCTGTGCTGAAATGAGGGACCAAAGGTCTCCCCCAGCCTGCAAGGAGAGCTGTGCTCAGGAGCTCAGCAGCATCTCGGTCTCACACACATTTCAAACCCACACTCCAGGCCAGAGATGTTATCACCCAGCCTTGTCTGCAATTACCTGACGCTTCCTAGATTCTTTTCTCATGCAAAATCTTTCCATCAATGACTGCAGTATCTTTAATAGTTTTTTAATACACTGTCTGCTCCTTAAATAGAATCCAAGATTACTTTTTTCTTCTTTTTACTGTACAAAGCAAYGAGCAGTCTTCATTAATGAAAAACCATTAAAGTAATGTATTCTGCCAAAATCTAATTAAAGCTTGTATAAAAACTTCCACTTAAGAAAAAAAAAAATCAAATATATTTGTTTTTCTCCCCCAGTCTTTTGCATAAAACATCTGTTATTAAAAATACTGGCATTTCCTTGATTTTACATAACTTTTTAATTAATGGATCATCTACTCTGATATAAACTGCTGGGTAACACATATACCTTTACACAGATAGAGTTTAATAGACATTAGCAATTTTTGAGTAATGTGATTTTCATCATTCATTCATAAGTTGGGACAGAAATAGAAACATATATATATATATATATATATATATATATATATATATTTTAATTTCACTTGTTTTCTAAACATTTTTTACAAAAACGTGGTTTGAATCTCAGGCCTGACATGTAAAGAATGAGTTTAGAGGCTTCAGATTTTCAGGTTTTTTGTTATTTGTTCTTCTTGGTTCTTTTTTTAACAAAATTACCTCAGACAAATCTTTGTCTGGATTTGATGTCTCTTCACTTTTCATTTTTGAATGAAAACGGTAATGATTGCAAAGCAATCAAAACCCCTC